TTCAGGTCCCCCTAGCAGAGCTCAGGCAGGAAGGTGACTGGGCGCTGGCCTCTCCTGCCTCCTTCCCCACAGCAACCTGGGAGGCAAATTGCCTCATGCTTCACCCAGAGGAAGGGCAACTGGGACATTTCCCACACTCGTCAGGCCACCAAGTCTGCTTCCTCATGCACACACACGCAGGGACCCCATCCCTGCCCACTGCCTCCCGTGGGAGCCTTCCCGTAAGCCTCCCACGATGGCGCTTGGAAAGACACCAGTGCAGGCCTTGGGGAAGGAGGACAGAGAGCTGGGGAGGGGCTCATGGTGCGGAAGTTCCTAGAGTGATGGGTGTCCTCAGACCACAGACCTCCTCCCCCACTTGCCCTACTGTGGAAGGAGCAGCAGATCTGGGTCCTCAGGCCAAGTCTTTTCAACATCTCCTGCACTCAGCAGCTTGCTTCTTTCCAGGTTCCTCCCTCTCCTGGGTGTCCCTCTTTACTGACCCACCTCAAAACGGACCCATGCCGTGTCCTGAGTCCCTCCTTGGGGCTCCTCTGCCTGGCTCAGCCTTGTGGAGCCTGGTACGCATGCGTCTTCCTACGGCGAAGCTCCTCAGCGTCTTAGGGAAAGCCCTGTGAGCTCTTTGGAGTGTGGGGAAGGGGTCATTTCCACACACAGAAGACCCTGGACCAGGCACCGGGAGCTTCAAGTCTCTGCCTGCTGTCGCCGTCTGTGAGGCCACAGCTGAGTGCCAGGACAACTCAGGTTGACCAGTACTGATGAGTAAGACAGTGAAGCCCTCCCTACCTGTTCCGCTGGGGATGCTTTTTGGCACCACCATCCTGCTCAGGGGTGTGCTGGAGCAGGCGGCAGGTGAGACTTTGGGGAGCGAAGCTTCTCAAAACCTCTTAATTACTGTGCAGGTATGCCCTGGCCAGAGCCGGGCCCTGAACATCATCATGGTCCTCGCTAGGGGTCTGACCCACACACCCCCGGCATAGGGTGCGAGGAGACGTTCCTCTTGATTGGGATTTTCTGCCTCTTGGGTTAACTTAGCTGAGACAAAAACAGCACACTCAGGATGAAAACATCTGAGTTCCAGAGGCAGAGGTGCTAATGAAATTCAGGTCCGGCACGCGGGACTCACACTGCTGGCGGAACAGCTTTTGTCCCAAAGCTGCCCTAATGAAGAGACCTCTGACAGCCCTGCACCCCTGGGCAGGAGCCCTGCTGTCCCTGGCAAAGGGGAGCTGGTGGGCATTCCCCAGGTAGAAAGTCAGCTCATTCGGTGTTAGACCTTTTCCTCACCTTCCTTTCCTGCTGGGTATATCCCAGGGCACAGGAACAGAGGCCCTGCCCTTATTAGATTACCAATGGGTGGGACTGTCTGCGACAGAGATTACATGTATGGCCCCCAAACCAGTCTGAACACTGTCCCCCTGCTCCTCCAGGCTGCTGACACTGGCACAAACCTGTTACTCAGTGTGGGGACGTCCTATTGCCTAAGAAGGGCATAAAACGGAGTGTCTTGCTTCTCCTGAGCAGCAACAACCTCTAGCCTGGAGCCCGTGGGAGATGCAGTCTCTGGCCTATGCAGAACTGGGCACAGGAACACTGGGCAGGGCTGGACTCTTCACATCCCTGGGGAGCTGTGCAGCCCAGCAAGCCTGAGCACCAACAGCTGTCTATGTCATGCTCTTCTGATTCCCAAAGTCACCACCTACACTATAAGGTTTGAGAAGCACAAGTGTCACTCACAAGGCAGAGTCTGAGGACTGAGTACTGGGTTTAGATGACCATCCTACCGACCACTGATGACACTATGGTACAGACCTTACTTAGGTTTTCAAAGCCTTCATCTTCCACCTGTTGAAAGGTGGAAACAAGCACTGAGTGTAAGTGGCCTGTGCAGTTTCTGGACATCACTGCCTACTCCTCCCACATGGAGGCCTGACTGGCTCCCCAGCTAATGCTGGCACTTGTGTCAGGAGCACTGCTAGCAGGGATGACCTGCTGGGAAGCAGGCAGAGAGATGACCTCCGAGGCCCTGTCCTATGCCAGACTGGTCTGTGGACCTCTGGTTTGGAGCTGCAGGAGGCAGAGCTGAGCTGTGATGTGGCATCTGGGATTCATGAGACATCAGCCCGTGAGTCACTTGGGACTGCCATCATAAACTCCCCCGGACTGGGCAGCTTGTAGAACACAATCCTGGAGGCTGAAGATTCCAGAGCAGGCACAGCAGTGTAGATTGCCAACTTGTTACTGTGTCCTCACATGGAGAGGGGCCCAGGGTTTTAGGGTCCCTTTTACAAGGGCTCTGTCCCACTCAGGAATTACCCCCCACCACGACCCAATCACTTCCTAAAGGCCATGCTTCCCAATGCACCACCGAGGGGGTTCGGGTTCAACCTTGTCCTCACAGTGATCCAGTATGACCACACAGTGAACTGCACACAGGGCTGGTGCTGGTTAAGTGCACTTGTGTGGCTGTCACCACCAAGTACTGACTCCCTGGCCAAAGTCCACCCCCTCAGTTCTATGCCTTATGGTCCTCTAAACCCCCAGGGGGAGAAAGAAGGAGAGAAGGGAAGAGCCCACACTGTCCCTCAACTCAGTCCCAGAGCCGGGAGGTTCTGGACAGTTCTCTGGCTCCTGTCCATTCTGGCCAGTCACACCTTCTCAGCCAGCCCCAGGCCACATCATCTCCATACTGCTCCAGCACTTGCTCCTCATGGGAGACCGAGCATTGCTTCAAGTCTTGGCCAAAGGCCCTGCTCCTTTGGGATGAGCTTCCTGGGATCAAACCCAGTGCTTCTCCCCAAAGCTTCCTTGTCTAATAAGAGGGCAGAGTGGCCTGTCTTGTACCTCCTGTGACTGATAGCTCTTGGTTCTCACTGGGGTCTTGGAGGTCAGCCCCACTCATATGACCTGTTCTCTTGCCCTCTGCCCCTTCTCAGTCTTCTCAGACTGGCACCCAGGGTGCAGGCCAATGGGCTATTCCTTCCATCTGCCTCTCCTGCCTCCCCTACCACACTCACTCGCCACACATCCACTGAAGACATAGCAGTTCCCCATTTCCCATGGGAATCTGCCATGCCCTCTTCTGTCCCCTGCCCCTGGATGGCCATATGTGCCCAGTTGACCTGATGCAGGGCTCTTGGTGGCTGAGACACAGGTAGGGGTCTGCTTTTGTGCTTCACCTCTGACCCTGCTACCAATCTTGCAAAGTGAGCAGAGGGTCCCATCCCAGACCAGGCTCAATGACAGTTCTTAGGAGATGCAGAATGCAGGGCAGGAGCCAGTGTGGAGGCCCTGCCTTACCTGAGGCTTCCCTGTGACCTACTGCCCTCTCAGAAAGCTGCAAGCTGTCCCCTCCTCCTTCCTAGTCCCTGGACCCCTGACCCCTGTCACAAGGCCCTGAGCTACCCCTTCTTCCCCTCCACCCGAGCCCTCAGGACCCCTTGCCTTCTCACAAAGCCCCGAGCTGCCTCTACCTCTCTCTTCCACCCCTGCCCCTGGTGAGCTCCAGTCTGCTAGCCACAGGGTACCTGGCCTTGGCCACTCCCGAGGCTACCCTCATTCACCACCTCTTGTCTCCAAAGGGCTATGCCAGCCCCACCTGAACTGGCTGTCCTGGGGTTCTGCTTCACTCAGCCTGGGAAATGAAATGGGGCACACACTGAACTCAGCAGAGCCCCAATTAACAGGTGACATGGGATAAAACTCAGCCATAGGTTACAAAGATTGGAGGTGGGCAATTACTCTAAGGCTGGCCAACCCCAGCGGTGTCATGGGGTGACTGTCCCTTACCCCTCAAGCTTTCTCGTTTCTGAGTGGTATCCCCTCCCCCAGTGGTGGGCACCATTACTGGCTCTGTCTCTGAGATCAGCTTCTTCCTACCCCGCCCATCCTCCCCGCAGCCTCTTGGGAGGCCTTGTACCAATCTGGCAGGCAGTGGGAAATGCATATCCACTACATCCACAGCCAGAGTCTAGGCCAAGAGACTCCAACATGGCGGTTTCATGGATGAGACCACACCCAGGGCAGTCCACACATTGCTGTCACCACGGTTGAGAGGCCTCTTAGCTGCCCCTGACCTTTTCTTTATTCTGAGGCCTGGCTCTCCTGCCCACTTCATTTCCCACCTGGCTGCCAGAAGGAGAAGTGGCCAGCCACAGTCCAGGCCACAGGCACAATCAGTGGGTGCTCCCTGCAGCCCCTCCTTGACTCAGCCGTCCTGGTGCCTGCTGGCTGCTATTTCAATACAAAAGCAAGTCCAGTGCTGAGTGCGAGCCTCTGGCTCAGACAGGCCTGTCCTCAAGGGTGATCTGCCCGTTTTGTTCTCAGAAGCAGGGCCAGAGTCCAGGGCCACCAATAGCAGGAGCCCTGCGTCACCTCCTGGGGTACCCTGTGGACACCCCTCTCCTGCTCTGTATTTTACACTTAGCGTCACAGCAAGGGGAAGACAAACTCACTTGGGTTAGTCAGGGTTCTCCTGGCAGACAGTGAGCACACAGGCAGATGAGAAGGGTCTCAGGGACTGGTTCACTTGGTCACGTAGGCTGCTAAGTCTCATGACAGGCTGTCTGCAGGCTGGAGCCCTGGGAGGCAGTGCAGCTCAGTCCAAGCCTGAAGGCCCGAGAACTGAGGGCCACTGTGCTAGTCCAGGAGTCGAAAGGCAGGAGAGCCTGGAGCTCTGAGGTCCCCAGCAGGATGGGGAGCGTCTCCGATGCCAGGGAGAGAAACTGCCTTTTGTTTCTATGGGGGCCCCTGGCAGCCAGAAGGTGCTGCCCACATTGAGGGTGATCTCCCCTTAATCTGTGTACTCCTCTGGCCACACCTTCAGACACACCCAGAAGCAACCCTTTTCCTGCTCTCTGGGGATTTCTGAATCCACTTAAGGTGCATAAACTTAACCACATCACTGAGCCCAGAGATGTGTTCACACTTCACACTCCCCCACATGGTGGGAACAAAGAACCTTTCCCATCATGAACTTCAGACCTATGGTGAATGTAGCCACAAACTGGGAACTTTGTCTCCAATTACAAAATCTTATTTTTATCACATTATTACATTTTTCAAAATATTGTTTATGCTCACCTCCCCGATTTTGAAATTAGAGCAGCAGCAAGATCAAAGGCTTCTGTTATTCACTACATTAAGAAGCACACACATTATAAAAAGTTAATTGTGTTGATTAGTCCTCTTACAAATCTTGTATTCATGTGCAACCCTCCTGAGACCCTGCGTTTCCAGCAGATACCTAAGCAACCTGTGCCACAAGGGGAAGGGGCTCCAAAGGCCAGCAGAAACCTCTCTTAGGTGCAGGAACAGGGGCCACACTGCTGACCTGTGCACCGATGGCTGCAAAATCCTTCCAGCAATGGGAGACGTGGTGGCTGTCCCTTTCTTGACTCCAACCTGAACACATGGGAGGTAGGGGCTTCTGGCTCCCCAAGTGCCTGAGGTCCAGGACCTGGCTGTGAGCAATGCCACATGGCTAAGAAGATGCCTCATGGTGAGGGTCATCTGCCCTCCTGCACCACGGAGGGGGCCGGGGTCAGTCTGTTCACAACATCAAGTGTAGGATCGACCTGGAATCCCATTACCTTTGGTTTGCCGTATGAGACAATGGACAGCTGTCATCTGAAGCACAGTTAGGTAGGGCTTCTCCAAAAGAGAATTCTCCAGGGAGTCCTCCAGCTGGAATCAGCTGCTCCAAGTCCCTGCATGACACCCCTCTCCCACTGGTGACCCATGAGGGTCCCATCACCTTCCCGAGACTCAGTCTTTATTTTCTGAAGTCAAAATCATCACATGGTTACTTACCACTTCACGAAGCTCACCGTAACAGCCTTCAGGAATCTGGCTCCCATATGACTCCCCGTGGGCACCACCTCGGGTGGGGCAGGACCCTAGGATCTTGCTGCAGCCCTGCTTGACAGCCGGACTGGGGGCCCAGGCAGGGGAATCCTTTCCTTCCTTGGGACCCCGGGGGCTTGAAGTTTAGGTTCTTTGTAGGCATACGTCATATGTACAGTCAGATAGGCACATGGCATATTGCCTCTCACTTGCTGAGAAGTTTATAGGGTGCCTGAGATTTTCTGGCTGATTATTTTAAAAGTGTGACATTATACTACAGCACCAAAGAGCCAAGTTGGATTAGACACAGTACTCTGCACTGAAAACGACCCTCTGCTCCAGGCAGCGCCAACTCCTATGATGGGAACTGGCACGAAGGCTTCCTGAGAACCTGAAACCCACATTTGTCCCCCGCCACCCCAGTCTCACCACTTCCTCTTGGCTGTCCCATCAGGTGGCTTTTCGTGTGCCCCTGGGGCTGGGCTCCCCTTCCTCTAATGCTCTTACCTCACACAGAACCTCTGAGAGGTAGGGATCGGCCTCACCAGAGTACAGAGCAGTTTGGCACCATCTTGGGGGCCAGGCGCAGGGTTCTACCCGCCTGAGTCCCAGGTCCTCTTCAGGACTGAGTACAAGAGTGTTTTTCAATGACAGCTGTGGGTAGGGTTCATCCCTGCTGTCTGAGCAGGAAACACACCCTGCCCCCAAAGCCCCAGGGACATTTCCAAACTACACTAACACCTCTGTCCCTCAGATGGGGCAAAGAACCAAATTTTTGGCATCTCAATAATGGAGAAAGGGAACACACACTGAAGTTCCCAGAAGGTTCTGCACTCATCAGTCAATCCTTTCACTGCCTCAATTCAAACTGCTAAACAGGTGGCCAAGAGTCTATTTGCTTGGCACACTTGCGCTGTTCACACAAAGGTTATTTGAAAGGTATTTAAAGAACCTCAGCTACTCTCACGTGAACTAGAGAGCCCCAGACAACTACGGAACAAGTCCATACGTTTTATTCATCGTCAGAGCCGGGGACAGAATCAAGGCCTTCTGTAAGTACTCTAGCACTGAGCTAATCCCCAGCCCCGTACATTTAAATAATTAAAAAACTGTAAAATATTTGTCTCCCAGGTTTAGCATAGGGTGTGTCCAAAGTGGATTTACAGGAGAGCACAGGTGGATTTATAGGAGAGTATGTGACACCGGGAAGGTCCCCACCTCCATCACCAGCTATAAAATGTCAATGACCTCAAGGGCTTGGCTGCAAGCCTGGCACAGCTCAACTATTCCACAAACAGGAACAATCATTACTACAAATGACAGTAAACAGCCAAGGGTACAGCAGTAATGGAGAGTGTGTTTTGAAGTGTGGTTAAGAAATGGTGACTGCCAGGTCAGAAGACAGATGATGACCACAGGCCTCAGCCCAGTCCCACCATCCTAAAACAGCCAAGAGACGGCTGTTGCCACCAGACAGTGTTATCTATAAAGTATCTTCTCTTTATTTAAGTTAAACAATTTCAAGGATGGTTTCCATCTATAAAATGCACAAAGTACAAGCTCTGTACAGCAGTTCTTTTTAAAAATTAACTGGAAAAAAAATTACCAAACTATATTTTAAATCTGCAAAACATACGCACAGACACCATCATTTCGGCTTCATGGAGACGTGAGAAGGACCACACAGAAGACAACCACCTCTGCCCGCAGGGCTGGGGAGCTTTAGTTTTAGAAACGGAAGTGGGAGGATGGGCTAGCCCCGATGACAATAAAATAACGCAAGCACAGTAAGTCACTTTGGCACACTGTGTCGTGTAAACATGGCACCGCAGGGCTGCCCAGCCTGCTCTGCTCTGAGCCACCCACAACTCAGGGCTGGGTGGTACCCTGCGTGGCACAAAGGTGATGCAACAACAGGGTGGGGTGCGGGTGTGTGGGTAGAGTCAGCAACACACCTGGCTAACACCAGTCCACCTGCTTTCACATCCATGTTTCTTCCTAACAGAAGCAGTTCACAGGCAACAGAGTTTAACAGCAGAACTCAGGTGCTTGGGGCTGAGCCTAGCACAGATGCGCTTCCGCCCTGCCAGCCTTGCCTTGGACATCCTCGTACCTGTACCTACAAGTGGTTACCATCAGGACCACTTTGAAAGGTGGATGGATGTGTGGAAAATTAACCAGGCACATGGTCACCTGTCTGCTAAAACACATCTGGTTGCTGGGCAGGGGTAAAAAAAGACAGAAGCTACCTGCCAGGCATCCACTGAGGGCTGTGGTCACAGCGTGGGGATCCTGTGTTGGAGGAAGGAGGACAGCAACATTTCCTTCCTAGAACAAGATGGAAGGAGAGCACGCACCAGCGGGTGTTCTGGCTCCCCATGGCTCTGCAGCCTCTAGATGTACGATGCTCACAGCAGACGCCCAGGCATCTCTTCTCATTACAGTGTCCAGGTCACCTGTCTGTGGTTTTCACAGGACCACAGACTGCCGCTCCATGCCTGACCCTCAGCGTGAGTGCCCAGCCTTGTGGTGGGAATGGGGGCACTGGGGCTGTTGCACGCCAAGATGGCAGCCACACGGTCCACTGGCAGGTGAGGGGCTCACCGCCTAGGCTCTGCTGGCAGCTAAGTTGCTCCAAAGACCTGACACTGAGGTCAAACCACCACCAGCCCAGAGCTAGGGTGGTGCTGGCCTGTACCGTCGCAGGCAGTGGAACACTGTGGCTCACGTTAGGAGCTATGATTTGGGGTTTTTCCCTAGAGAAAAAAAAATTAATTAAAAACATAAAAAAACCAAAGCAATACATGCCAAAATAAGTAACCTATCTAGGTTGACAGATACCAATGGACACAAAGTGAATTCTCCAGCACACAGCCTGAGACTGGTGGTCTGGGGAAGCCACAGCTGGCACTGTAGCACCTAGTGGCTGATTGGGCTCCAGGGACAAGGAGGCCACTGTGGACTCCAGGACAGCCCGTCCCTCCACATGGCTGGGAGCTGTACAAGTGATGATCTAGGGAAACCATGGGGAACTGACCGTATATTCCTTCTTTGTATGTATTTATGTCTAGTGTCCCAGCACAGGGAGTTCATATTCAAATACAGCAAGCACATGAGTGGAAGAAAGGAGGGGCTGGAGGACAGCTGGGCCCAAGACGTAGGAAAAGAGGACAAGGGAAACCTGCAACGGCGAGGCCAGTGTGGAAATTACACTTGTTTCTTGTTTTTGAGACAAGGTCTTGTTATGTGACCCAGGCTGGCCTGTCTCTCAAGTGCTGGGATTACAGGCATGCCCACCACACTGGCTCACATGATTTCAATGGGTTTGAATGGAGGATTCAAGAGTCCTTGCTGTGAGGGTAGCACCCCCAGCCCCTCCAGTCCTCAGCATGCATGTGCTGAGCTGTTGCTCCACCACACCCTGACGACATCACAGGCTGCTCCTCGGCTGCAGAGCCAGCAGGAAGGGGAAGACGAGGCAGAGGGTGCCAGCCTGGGAGGGCGTGCTGCACCTGGGCTGAAGGGGCAGGCCTCCTCTCCAGCAGGCAGTCAACACAGCCCATGCCTTGCTGAAGTTCTCCGACTTTCAGACCATGATGGAACACTGAGGTATATAGTTTCGCGGAAAGTTTCAGAAACATAACCAAAACGTGATCACCAAACTGGGCTGATGTGCGGGAGGATGGCATTGGCCTCCAGGCTCCTACTGCTGCAGGTTGAGTGAGAACTTCCACTGCTGAGAGAGGGCTGGGCCGCACACCTCCACGCTCAGACCCCCGGTCTTGGCTGAGCGGCTGTCCAGACACAGGTTGCTCCCTACGTGCCGCAGCTTGGAGTTGCCCTCGATCTGCTCCCACTTCTGCAAAAGACAGGAGCACAGTGTGGAGAGAGCACAGGCTAGCAAGCAGGCCACAGCCAGGCCTTCAGGCCATGTTCAAGACAGACTCTGACCACGGAGGACAGAAGTCAGCAACACCCTGCAGCAAACTAGCCATGGGACTGAGGAGGACACCACTGTCTGCCCTCGGCCCACCTTTGCTTCAGGTGTCCCCTATCCAAGCCCCAGGGTCTGGGTAGCCACCCCTTGTTTATTACGAGCCCTTCTTCAAGAGGAGTGTGTGTCCATCACGTGGTGGCAGAGACATGGCCATCATGCTTCCTCCAGAAAGGAGCCATCGGAAGCTCTGGCTGCGCACGGCAGCCTGCCTTGAGGTCATTGCAACACCACCCTGTTCCCACCCATGCTGGGTCTTAGGCCTGATGCAGACAGGAACGAGAAGCTTGTGTGGACACAATGTTGAAAAGGACCCTAACTCTTCAGTGCCTTCTCTACTGGAGTGCAAGCACCTGGGTGGTGAGGACTTGGTCCCAGATGCCCACCAGTCCCCACTGCTCTGCATGGCTGGGACCAGCCACGGTGTGAATGTGCCACTCTTGGGGTGTGAGGTGCAATGCTCTTACTAGTACTAGTGCAGTAGGACCACACGACAGCCAACCCACAAACCCAGGCCCGAAGGAACTGAGGCCCTGCCCGTGACTACGTAACAAGTGCTATCAATAAACATCCCGATTTAAAAGCTCTAACATCTGTTTTTTTTTTTAAAGTAACACACTTTTCTCCCAAAAGCTTTTCCTTCATTAATGGAGACTGTGGTTCTAATTAATTTTTTACACTATGTGAACTATAACAATCTGACACTATCTAACACTTCTGGAATTAGATTTTCGCACTCTTGCCTCCCTTTTCCCTTCGACTCTGCAAATTCAAACAATATGATGCTGGCTTGCCTGGAATCCTACATCCTGACTGGCAAGACAGCACAGCTCCACAGAAAAACATGCTTCTTCTCAAAGGTGAGGAGAGAGGCAGGAGGGCTGGGCAGCAGGCAGGGGCCTGCATGGGGCACGGGAAGGGTGTGCGCTTAGACCCTGCTGCCTATTTACTCACCTGCTCACCTGGAGTTCCTGCCAACAGTGAGTCTCCAAAGGCTCTCCCACCTGCCTGCCACCCTCTCCTCGTCCATCCCCCTGGATCCTGCTGGACACCTCACTATGAGTCAAACACAAGGGATTTCCTCCATTGTCACAGAAAGCAGAGGTTGCCAAGCCCTCTAAGCTGATGAAGAATGTGCAATGATGGATTCTGACTCTGGCCTCTGGAGGGACCCTGCCTGTCCTGTGTTGGAGCACTGACTGAGCGTAGGCCGTAAGACAATAGCTGCCCCTGTCCCTGGAAGCAGCCTTCAGCACCAACAGTCTGTCAATGGGACAAGAGGCCTGACACAGCCCTCCTGTCTTCCTGACAGTTGAGGCTCGAAGTCAGAAGCCCAGGAAGGCACCTCATCCCATGGGGCCCGAGCGCACCTGTCTGCTGTCGTTCTCCCGGCAGCCCTGCAGCCTGACGAGGGAGCCAGGTGACCGGTCCACTACGGTCAGGCACAAGTCCATGTGTTTCACTGACTTCTCCTTTGTCAAGGCCCACTCCTGGAACACAGAGCCAAGCACTGTCATGTCACACACACAGTGAGAAACCCAAGTACGGTCTTTAGGGTCCAGGGGAAGTGGCTGTCATGGGGAGACAGATTCAGAATCCCTAGGCCAGTTCAGAACCAGCAAGCTACTTCAAGCCTAAGGCAGACCTAGAACTGGAGATATGCCTTCCACCTATGACTGGACACTGAATTGCTTGGCACAGGCAAAGGTGGCCTGCGAGCCTTGGTCACTAAGATAAGCAGTGTTAAGCACTTTCACCCCAAATTCAAGCTAGAGAACTGTGTCGACACCTCTGATTCAGTGCAGCTCCAGCTTAGTCACCCTCATGATGGACTGTCAGGTCACTGTTACTCCACATTGCTACAGAATGACTCTGCCCCTAGCAGGTCTGATTTGGAAGATTTACAAACAGAAACTATAAATAGCTAACTACTGCAGATGGAAGCAAGATACAGTATGTCACTGGGACTGAGTGCTGCATGATCTGCTTATGCTGAGGAAGGAATGGGTGGCCTAAAAGTCACAGTGCTGACACTGCATGGTCACTGCCAGGACACACATCTCCCAGCTCCCTCAGGAGCCAAAGAGGAGGCTGAGCAGAGAGTGCAGAGGGGACAGAGGGGTGGGGAGTGGGGACAGTAGAGGGGCAGGGGGGCAGGAAAGGCTGGGGCAAAAGGGCTTCAGAAATGGAGATTAAGGGGCTGGGGAGGACCTGCCCCAAGGGCTCTCACTGCCACAGCCAGGCCCACGCTCCATTCATTCCCCCAGCCAGCTAACAGGTGCTCTAGTAAGCCAGTTGTTTCTGTGAGTTGTTCTAGAAAATGAGTGAACGTGAGGGAGGTAACGTGGGACCCTGACCCACAACAGCTGGTCAGCGCACGGCGGACAGCCTAGACTTGGCACCAGTGTCTGGGACTGAGCTGCTGACCTGCCAGCCTGCACTGTTCTTGGGAAGTCAGTGTCAGAAATGGACTGAATGTTGCCTGGTGTGGGGAAGCCCCACATCTGGTGTCAGAGGGAGGTTAGTGTAAGTACAGAGCCTCTCTTGTTTTTCCAGTGTGTTTGGCCCCAGGTGTGTCTGGAGCTTGGGGGCCCAAAGAGGAAGTGAGGCTGTGTCTCCCTATGTACAGTGGCTCTCAGGACACACTGGCCCAGGGTGATAGTACCCCCTGCACTGCAGGGGGTCCTCATTCCCTGAGCAGGTGTGATGGCTGAGGGGCACCTGCGTGTGCTTAGGTGAACCATGAGACAGTTAGGCACTGCCAGAGTTTAGAATGACTTCAAGGCAGGTACCGGAAGATGCTGGGGGGGGTGGTGGTGTCTGTGGCCAGCCAGGGCAAGGTCACGTTGGAATGTCTCTGTTCTTTTATCTATTGCACACTTGATTATTTTAAGGCAGATGATGTGCTGAATTCCAGAAAAAGCCACTTCCGCTATGCAAACAACAGAGCTGATTGTCACTTTGTGCTACTGCCCTTCAGTGATCTATATTTTTAAAATGTGGTTGATAAATACTTAAGAAACGCTTTTTTGAGCTGCCACTCTTAAACATAGCTGTTAATTTTCTTATTTCCTGTGTGCTGCTGAGGCTAAGCTGGTAACCAGGTTAACAGACCTCCCTCTGCCTAAGCACTGTCTGCCTCTTCTTCCTCATCTTTGTGGACCAAATCAGCACAGGCCATCAGTCAGAAACCTCAGTCATGTGGGGCCTACAAGGGGATGCTGATAGCACCATGAACAGTTCCGGTCCTCTCCATGGTAACGTGTACTAGCCACCAGCCACGCAAAGCTGCTTGAATTTAAATTCAGTAAAATGAAACAAAGTGAAAATTTCATCCACACTAGTCACATATCTCGTATCCACATGTGGCTGGTGGCTGGTGCTGGTGGAGAGGGTCAGCACAGGCATAGGACACCCCATCACAGGGGTCCAATGGACAACAGAGGGAGAGGTGCTTGAAAGCTGCAGGGGGCCCGGGGGCAAGGCATCCCAGTGAGAGGGAACCAGAATATGAGCACTGCCTAAAGGTACAAGAGCAGGGGTCTACACCACAGGAGGACAACACTGAACACTGGGCAGGGCAGGGGTCTACACCATATCAAGCAGACTCAGTGCAGGTGCAGAACGGATCCTTTAGCATGGAAGCACAATGGGTTGACAAAAGAGCTCTTGGAGGAGACCCAGGTGACAGACTCACAACTGTGTCTGACAGGGATGCTGTCACTTTGACCAGCGTACCTGTGCCACTGTGGCTGAGCCCAACATGTCCACCACTGCCTGTGACAACCCAGCAGACCTGAGGTTGCAGCAGTGTTGCCCTCTGGGCCAGGTGTCTCACACTGCCCTTCAGCCCTGCCTCCCTGGGATCACAGGAAAGCTCATCACACACCTACCTGGTTTCCCCCGGCATTGTGACACTCGTAAATCCCAACAACCCCATCAGCAAAGTGTCCTAGAGTGTCCAGGCAGTTGGTTCCCTGCTGCAAGGCCCCAAAGGCGATGTCCTGATGATCAGGGACCCTGCAAACCAAGATCCACTGCTTAGTCAGCAGGACCAGCAGCTCGTATCTAGCAGGATATGTGACCTCTCCCTCCCCCAGAGAGCGGGAACAGATAAAAGTGTCATGAGCATCGGGTCCCCACACAGCAAGCCTTGAACCTCTAGTTCCTAACACTTTTAGACTAAGTGGGACGCTCTCCTCCTGGTTCCACATCAGGGGTTGGTCTGGCAGGAAGGCTCCTGACCCTCACACTGGTTTGTAGATGTATTTAGAAATCCACTCAGTGTGCCAGTTCATTCTGGACAGAATGAGGGGAGAGTCTGCACTGGCTGTGTATCACCCTGGGAAGAGACACTATCTAAACCTCGACTGGCTCTCCTGAGTGGAACTGCTGCAAGTTATAGAGAACATCTCGTGTACAGCCCTGGCCCAGTGCCTGGTCCATGGGTAAAGGTGGCGGTCATCACAGATGTGTGATGGCCTGAGTAGGGGGAGCAGGCTCACCAAGTGGCAGGCTGATCTTTGGAGGGTTCAGGCCCAGGGCCACCCTTCACGATGACCAAAACAAGAAGCTGAACATTTCACATTGTCCTATCAACACAGGTAACCATGACAGCAAAAGCAAAGCAGAGCTTCATGAGGTGGAAGTCACTGCTGCACAGCCCCTCCTAGGTAAGGGGACAATGACCAAGGATCCCGGCAGATAAACACTGTTCCTGAGTTGGGAAAGTCGCCTTCAGCCAGGGGTATCAGTGGGAGAACACCACGCCTGGGCTGCCTGCAACTCACCCATTACTTTAAAAGGCAAAGGAACCACCTCCAAAGAGCCGTGCAAGGAACAGCAAGGCAGGTGTGAGGCCGCATCACAGAGCTCACAAATCTCGTGGGGAGAGCTGTGCAGGTGCTGCCAGCAGAAGGCTAACACACCTCTCCCTTGCCAGGTCTCCAAGTTGCTGCAAAAAGCTCTGGAGAGGCCTAGAATAAGAAGGCTCTACATCCAGGCACACTGTCTGATGGGTGCTTTAAGATGAAGCACAGACAGTTCCTGACACCTGGCAAGTCCACTAGCCCTCAGATGGGTCATAAGTGTCCTCAGGACAGGGAGATTCTGACAGCATACGCAGAAAGGCAGGTTTGGAAATAAGGCCCAGAAGAGCCTGCCTGCCACTGTTAGCCCCAGCAGACAGCAGGGCACCAGACTTGCTATTCTACCTCTCCTGTAATACTAACTGGCCTGCTGGAGGAGGCAAGTCCCCTGCTCTGAGCTGCCGTTGGGGGCCTGGTCACCTGCTGGCCACAGAGTGATGGCAGCATTCTGCTAGCTGACCTCTCCTGTTTCTCCGGCCAGCAGCTGGGCCCCTCTATCTTCCCATACTCGCTCAGAAGGCAGGAGGAGCTGCTGGGGGCTAAAGGGACACTGGGTCAGCACGCAAACTCATGGAAGCTGGGACTGCTTCTCTGGACACCCAGCCTGTCTTGACCCAGTGGTCAAAATCAGGGACTGCCCAGGTCTGTGCAGAGAGGGGGCAGCTCTGGAGGAGAGAAGGAAGCGAAGACTGAGAGCTGGTGTGCAGGAGACTGGGGACAGCAGTGGAGCGGGGACATGTGCTTTCCATGGGAGCCTGGCTACCAGCCTCATGCCTGCACCATGATCTCTCCAATCTCTCTGGCCATCTTTGCTCTTAATCTCTCACAAGGTGAACTCAGGTCTGGGACATACCTCAGCTCTGGGTAGACATTTTCCAGGTACCACTTGAAGGGCTTGCAGCCGAGCTTCTTCCTCAGCTCTAGTCTGCTCTGAATGCTGAAGACAGACAGGGAAACAGACTCCTTTATGTTAGGAATGGAGGGCTCCCCACACCAGACCTCAACATCTGCTGGTGAAGACAGGGTAGGGACAGTCATGTCCAGGCTCCAGTGCCATGACCTGACTCACCCCCTCAGGGCCTCAATGGGCCCTGAACAAAGGCTCCTGTGGATATCGAGGGCTGTCCCTACCAGCCTCAGGTTCCCACCAGCATGAGACAGCAGGGCAATACTCACTTTCCATAGGGCACGTTTCGGGCAGAAGGCACGGCTGCGTAGTAGAAGTTTTTGTATTCATCCATCCAGACTTCTGCCGCCCGGCGGGTGTTGCTAGAAACGAAGCAGATCTTCCTGATTTGCAAACTCTTTCTGTCAGCACCACTCCTTCTGCACCATTTGCTGGAGTGACTGAGGGAGGTGCTGGGAACACCACTTGGGCAGCTGCCCTGGGTTTGGTGCTCAGCAGGGATGCCCAGGCCCCAGGGGAGGCTTTCTTGTCACTCACAGCAGATTGTTAAAAAGCAGAAGCAGACGTTGGAATTACAGCACAGCAGGTATTTTGGAGAGGGGCCTGGGCTGTGCCATGGAGGACAAGAGAGCGACTCCCAAAACTACAGCAAGGCGCAACGTCTCCTCAGCTTTCCCTGGCAGGGGACAGTGAAGCCGAGACAGTCACTGTTAAAATCACTTTTCTGCAGACCTGAACTAAGGGATGGTCATGTACAGACTAGGATTAATGATCTGAAGCATTGGGATCATTGCCCTGTGTGTGTGAGGTCCCTACTGCTCTGTGCTCAGTGCACAGACAAGATGGGCTCTTCTAGAAAGGAGGGAAACCACGTGCCAAGATCTGTCACAAAGAGAGAGCCAGGCACAGGACTTGTCCCAGGGAGGCCTGCCCTATGGGACAGATGGCCCTCCATAAAGGCCTTAGCTGCTCATTCTGTTCTTCCAAAGTAAACATGGCAGGGAGGCCATGACTGCCTTTTTATTCCTTTCCTTTGCAGGAAGGTCTTTCAAATGTGAGCCCGTCCAATCGTCTGTGCCCTACTCACTAAAATAATGTCTGTGTGGGGCCTCTAGCTTTTACATGAAGTGACATACACAATCTGTCCTCCCTGAATGAAGGCGCGACAGAACAGCTTAAAGCGCCACTGAAACACAAGACAATGTGACTACACATCAGACCCGCAGCACTATCTCAGGAAATTTACCTCTATAACCAGGAATGAAAATAAGTATGTGGAAATATGCTCATTTTGATCCTGTTTATGATGGTGTAAAAATAGAGGCTGATGTGGTGGCTCAGGCATATAATCCCAGCTACTCAGGAGATGAAGACAAGCAGGATTGCAGCTCAAGGCCAACCCAGGCGAACAGTCAGCAAGATCCTGAGTTCAAACCCCAGTAATGCAAAACCAAAAAAAATGAGAAACCATGCTATTTAATCTTAATTGTCAACTTGACTGGACGAGAGACGCTGAGGAGATCATTCAAGCGCACCTCTGGGGGGTCTGTGAGGGCATTTACAGAGATGACTTGACCATAAGAGTTCTGGTCTAACGAAAGGACGAATCCCTCGATGGACTCGTGTATGGCGGCGTGGTTGGGAGGTGGTGGTGGCAGGTAGAAGGTAGAGCCTCACTGGAGGAGGTGGGTCACTGGGGGCATTCTCGGGCTACATCTTCCCTGGCCTCTTCCTTTATTCCCTCCCTGCTTCCTGTCTGCCATGATGTTCTGCCTCACAAGGGCCCAGAAACACGCAGCCAATCACACATGATTAAACCCCTCTCAAATTGTGAGCTCAAATCAGTCTTTCCTTTCTTGAGTTGTCTGTGGCGGGTATTTGGTCTCTGACAAGAAAGGTAACAAATGCATAAACTACATGACCAAATACAGGGAAGTGACCAGAGGGGTGCAGTGCCCATGACCACAGGAAACCTAGGCGTGAGTCCTGCTTGTGGCATGACTGATGCCTGGACCTGTGGGTGAAAATGAAAGAAATGGCAGATTGCTCACAGTGGACATGGATGGAGGGAGAGGACAGACTGATCCAGCAACTAGTGAACCTCCACAGGAATGCTTTCTAAGAAGTGTACTCTGCAGCGTCTGGTATTCTGACATACTGCTTTCTGAAACCCACTGTTCTCTGCTCAATATCAGAAGCTTTGATTTGGGGTGCTTGGCTCATCTGCATAAGAAGTTTCGGCAAAGGGTCACACGATGCCCCAGAAGAAAACTCACACATCACCATCTGATTTTATGAGGCCACCATATAAAACTGTGCTGCTCTTAATAAGGGCAAAAGTGAAGCTTAGACGACGCTCAGTGGTAGATACTTTTCAACGAAAGTGATTTGGTCAAAAGCATGATTTCTTCTGGTTTCCATTAAAGCTTCTCTACAATTCAGATCCTGTATAATAAAAATTCAATTTCTGGGACCTGTAATCCCAGCTACTTGGAAGGCAGAGATCAGGAAGATCATGGTTTGAGGCTGGTCTGTGCAAAAAGTTAAAGAGAACCCATCTCATCAAATAAGCCAGGTATGGTGGAGCATGCCTGTCATCCCAGCTATGCAGGAGGCATAGATAGGAGGAGTGAGGTCTGAGGCCAGGCCTGGGCAAAAGTATGAGACCCTATCTGAAAAATAAAGAAAAAAGAAAAAGGGGGTGGGTACTGGGGACATGACTCAGGTGGTAGAGCCTGACTAGTAAGCACAAGACCCTGAGTTCAACCCCTGTGGAATCTGGCTTAATGAAAGCCCAAAGCTTCCAGGCCACAGTGGGGCACCACATGGTGCACCATAACCCCTGCTAGCCATCACTGCAGGCTTCTGCCCTGTGGTCACCAGCAGATGCCCTACCTCAGCCAGTGTGGGTTAGCCCAGCATTTGAAGCGATCTTATTTGGCTGTGTGTTTAGTGCCCTCCCCACCTCCACCCCACCTCTACTGCTTCATCGCTAGTATCTTGGGGAATTCTGGGAGAAGCTGCATCTGCCAGGATGGCAGCCTATACTGCCTCATGCAGCACCCTTCACCTTTACCAAAGCATGCCTGTTATTGCTCTCCAATCACATCTACAGCACCATGGCTTTTCTCGCTTTGGCTTGCATGTCTGCCCCTCTGAACTCATGCTGAAACTCAAGTACCCCTGTAATAGCACTGAGGGGCAGGATTGCCAAGGAGTGGGCAGGCCATGGGGGGCTCCACGGGGACCCTCATCCTCTTGTAGCCCTGACACACAGTGTTAGGAAGACCCTCGCCAGAGGTTGGCACTCTGGTGCTGGATGCTCCAGCTTCCAGCAGTAGCTGTGCTATACAGTCACTCTGCCTACGGCACTCTGCACAGCACTGGGCAGTACCAATGGGCAGTGATATATGACAAAACACAAGTGTTCTTTAAAATGCTTTCCCCTAATGTCTTTTGAGGTCCTCACTGAGACATGTGCAGATTTGTTGTGACCACCACCAAGCAGTCTGTTCCTCAATGCCCCTGGCAAGGGCCCAGGCCACCACCCTCTCCACCCTACCCTGCAGTCACTCCCTGCTCCCCTACTGGCACCCTTTCTGAGACCACCATGAGCGTGCAGAGGCAGCATTTCCCTCAGCAGAAGGCTCTGCTGCATGCCCACCACTGCTCCTTCCTGAGGCTCGTGGGCTGTGCCTGTCAGGGGACACAGTTCCCATACATCCAGGACACACCTGCATCCAGAGCAGCCAGCTGTACTGTGGCCTGGCCTTTCACCACTTACCGGGCAAAGACAGTGCCGCTGCCACCTGGGAATGTGTAGGGGTGCTGCTTTCGGAACACGTGCCCCACACGGCTGCAAGGTATGATCTCCAGGCTGCCACCACACTGCCACACGCGGAACGAGATCTCTGAGACAGAAGGAGACCTGGGTGACCACTGGAGTTGGGAGGTTGATCGGCGATGCTCGCCAACTGCAGCTGGCTCTCAACTGCTGAAAGAGACCCATGGGGAACTGCCTCTCTAGAACCCAAAACTTCCTAAGTAGAGACGCTGGACACAGCCCAATGGGCAGACTCCACAGTTCAACAAGAAAGTGTGTGCACAGGCAAACACTATACATTTGGACTAGAACTCTCAAGACAAAGGTGAATTTGGCCTCTTGTGAGTATGGATTCCCCAGCCTAAGACATGTGCATCCCAGGAATGTCACAGAGGCTGCCTGCAGAACGGTGCACAGAAGTCCCCATGCAGCGCATCAGGTGTGCCATGTGCCTGATTTAGCACTGACAGAGTCAGGAAGGCAACCTGGAAGGTATGGCCACACCTGCCACCAACTCTAATGCTGAAACAACAGGCTACCCCCTGGCCACCTTCCCCCAGTCACCTCAACCTGACTGAGTGAAAGGACACATGGGCGTTTCCATCCAGGGAAAGAGTCCCTTCCTTGAAATTGCAAGATCACATCTGTCCTTGTGCATTGGCTGTCCTCAGCCCCTGGTGAAGATCAAGCAGGTAGTGGCCAGGAGAGTCAGGTGACTGAGGAACCTCTGGTCCAGGCAGTAGCACTACGAGGTGACAACTGACCTGTGTGTCAATAAGACTGGCCACGGGAGTAACAGGGATGCAGAGCCACCACCACTGTGCCACCTCACACACCACTGCAGGAATGACATGCCAGACAGGGCCTGGACTATGCCTGACTGATGACTGGCTGCCCTGTATTCAGGCACCTGTCTCAACCACTGCCAATTCTGAATGCAAGACTGCATTTAAGCAGAAAAATGAAGAGGCCCTGTTCTGAAAGGGCAGATCGCTTTGTGAGAGTTACATAACAGAGCATTTTCCTCTGGGTCATCTGAGACCCCTCAGACATGCTGGGTGGCAAGAGGATGACATGGTTGGCACCACTGCCAATGCAGATGGACCAGAGCTTAGAAGACCATGTTGTGGGTGGGCATTTTATCTTTCAGACCAGCACATGGTCTGAGCTCCTATTTGGGTCTGGCAAAAGTAATGTCACAGGAGAACTTTTGCTTGCAAGAGTGGGTGACCCATGTGCTGTCATGGATATTAACCACTGACTCCTTGTGGCTACACACAATGTGTGCTCAGCACTTTCCTAGCAAATGCACTGCAAGGGTCTCACCGTTTTTATAGAGTACAACAAAGCTCTGAGTAAGAAGCTCTCTGTATTTCAGGAAATAAAAAATATACACTTGCCCTTGGAAGACTAAAGACCAGGCTTCTGCACAGAGTCTACACTGGGGTCTGGTAGGGGATTTTCAAGACTATCCCCCCAATTCCGGCCTCTCCAGAGCCATGCACTTAGGTTCACTGCTTTGCCTAATTTGTAGTTTTTTTGTTTGTTTTGGTGGGACTGGGGTTTGAAGACAGGCTTCACACTTGCAAAGCTGGCACCGTGCTTAAGCCACACCTCCAGTCTATTTTGCTCTGGTTATTCTGGAGATGGGGTCTTGAGAGCTACTAGCCTGGGGTGGCCTGGAATTGCAATCCTCCTGATCTCAGCCTCCCAAATAGCTAGGATTGTAGGCGTGAGTCACAGGCACTTAGCTAACTCGTGGGGTTTTAATTAGGCGTTAGGGTTTGCATCCTGGCCCTCCTCTTGGCCTACAGGCCCTGGGCACACAACATGGTCTCCACAGACCTGTCCTTTAAGGAGCTGCCCAATGGAAATACACAGCGCTCATCCTAACACTCTGGTGACCTGCCCAAATGGACAAACTGATCCCAGTGAGCCTTACCCCATCTCCCTGGAGCTAAAGGGCCAGCCCCTTTTCCTTCCTTTGTAATTGCTTTAGTCATACAAGACTTATGCTACCGTTCAGGAAAACAGGGAGCTCTTGTGCTAGGAGATGGTGGCTTGGTTTTTACTCAGGCATCCCCACCCCTACCTCTCCCAGCACACATTCGCCAAAGCCACACATGCTGACCACTGGTAGCCACTGTGCAGGAGCTGTGCTCTGCAGAGAGCAAGGTTCACATTGCAGACCTTCTGCTCAAACTGCAGCTCGGCCCCAAGAGTCTTGCAGAGCACCAGACAGGGAGGACAGAAAGCCAGACTGTCCCACAGTCACGTGCTCCCACCCCAGGGCTCTGCCTTCCTGACCCCTCAGGCCTGTTGGTAGAACATAAATATAAAAAATAAGTGTCAAACCAGCCCATCAAAATTAATCTGTCTTCCCTGTGGCCTCCAGGTGAAGTCTCCTTAGATACAAATCAGCCCTCTGTGGCATGACACAAAGCAATGACTAATGCCCCAGCTGACTTTTGTTCTCCACACACCTCACCCATGATGTATTCTCCACACAACACCTCAGAACCACACCTGCTTCCATGACATGGCCACCTGAGGTGGTGACACATGGTCCCACAGGACAGCCCTGGTTACCAGAGCCTGTGGCACAAGGGGGCTTGGGGGTGTCTCAGGTTAATCACTCTGAAGCCTTTGGTGCCTGAGCCTTACCTAGAGTCAATATGTCCTTAAAGCACCCCCAGAAGATCGACTCCTGGTCCCTCCCTGCCCTGAGGCCCAGAAATTGAGCAGAAAACAGCTTTCAGCATCATACAAGGCAGAGGTGTCCTCAGAGACGTGATATCTTCCCTACTACCAACATCAAAAGCAACAGAGAAATGAGAGGCTCAGTTAGTCTGTTCCTGTAAGCCTAACAGAAACTATCAAAGTCTCTGTCACAGAAAAACTATACAGGATGACAGTAGTGTCATCTCCCCTCTTTCTCCTTGTCCTCTTTCCTCCCAGAGCACACCCACCCAAGGAAGAAAGAAACGTAATGTTCAGTAGCTGAGGAGAATTATCTCAGAACTGCAAGCACTTGAAATCAAAGGCTTCAAGTAAAGCAAGCAAGAAAAATGAAAACAAAATAGCACATCAGAGTCTTTTTATCTTCCATGCAGGAAATGTGAGGCAGCTACCAAAACAGACCATAATCTATAAAGTTCTGTTGCCCCTATTCCCAGGTAAAAGTAATTTGTATGGGTTAGTAGAAACAAAACCACACACACAAAAATTGGAACCATTCACAAAAGCAGATGAGAAGGGAATGAATGCCAGGATCCATCTGTGTGGTGTCCATGGCTATGGTTCAGCCAACCCACCAGCTGCCATGGCTTCATTTCTACATAGCTCATCAGAGCCCTGATGCCAGGTTGTTTCCCCCCATTTTTGGTCATGTGCATTCAGAACTCCCAAGACAAGCAAAATGACAGAGCTAGTTTCCATCAAAGGTGACCTGAATTCTGGCCTTCCCTCTGACACAGGGGATGCATCCCACCACCAACCCATGGCAATTTCAGAGGGAGAGGGAGTCACGCATGTGTGACAAGGCCTGCTCCGCCCACTGAGTGGTCACTCTGGAGACTTTGTGAAGCTTCATGATCACCTCACAGTAGAGAGGGCTCGCAGACTGGAGGTGTGAGGCCCATACGTACCCAGGTTCTCTCCTCCCCACACGTCCATCATCATGTCATACTTCCCCAGTTCTTCAAAGTAGAGCTTGTCCATCACGAAGAGTCCCCCAGCAATCATGGGTGTTCTACAGAGGCAGAGGACAAAAAGGTCAAGGGTGGATGGCCAGCACCCTTCAGCCAAGGCCAGGCCTGGTTCCCTAACTATAACCTGACCTTTTGTTCTCCATAGCTAACATCAAATGCCTTCCCTACTCCCTGCCTGTGGCCCCCATAGTGCCGGGGTTGGACCAAGCCTCCCATATGAGGGACTGATCACTGGGGTTGGGACACTGGCTGACCAGCTGTCCTAAGCAAGATACTAAGCCTTTCTGTGTCTCAGTTTCCTTATGGGGTGATTATAGGGATTACAAAAAAAGTATGTAAGGCCTTAGCATGCAGCCCTATGTCTCTGAGGTCATCTGGGGCCACTCTGCTGTGGAGAACACTTTGTGCTATCAACACAAACCACACACGGGACCAGGAGCATCGCCTGGCCAGCCTGTCCTAACTCTGAGGAACAGAAACCTCCATGGACCTTACTGCAGTGTATGACCTGGGGACAGGCCCTCGTCGGGAGCTGGGGCCTGGATGCAGTAAAGCTAGAGGAAGACAGCCCATGTTGTCCGGACAGCTAGGGCCTACAGGGCCCACAGCCTGGACTCTCCCCACAAAGGGTGAAGGGCACATCGTACAAACTGGCTGGAGGCTGAAGTGCTCCTGCAAGGAGCTCCCTGTGGACACAGGCCAAAGACAACCCTGGTGCCCCTGTGAGAAGCACCTCATAGCACAGTGGCACTTACTTTATGGGGGCGACTGGGTTCCCCTGGCGCGCTCTCCTCTGCTCAGGCGTCATGTAGTCCCACTTGAACACCAAGTTCCAGTCAAAACCTATGGAAAGAGATAATGCTGAGGAGGCTGGCCATTTGTACCTGGCTCCCTGTGCCTCATGGCTCTAAAACCTTTGGCATTTGGATGGGATGCACAGAAAGCCAAGTGAACAGACAAAATGAAGAAGACGGGGCAGGAAGAGGGAATAGCTAGGCTGGTGGAGCAGGGCAGGGAGGGCACACACTGAAATATTCCCCAACCCTCCAAAGAAAATGTGGGTCAGGCTTTTCTAATATTAAAACGTGAAACGTAAGGACTGGGTCTGTGTGACACCCCTGCACATCCAAGGGCTGCAAGGAGGTGAGGAAAGAGCAACCAAGAAGGGCCTTGTGTCTCCAGTGCTGCCCATGCAGGAGGAACTGGGAGGGCATAGACACTATTGGTTCCCTGGCCTCCTAGCTCCATCTCTTGGTATGTCTTGATTGCAACCAAAACTGTATTTCAGACAGACGACAGGCTAGGAGACTGAAAACTCTCAGAGGAAAATGAGCCAGAGGAAGTTGCAAAACTGACATGCTTCATTTTTCTGGTGAATATAGCCCAATCACTTCCTTCTTGGAATCCATAGACCACTAAGGATGGCAGAGCCTGGGTCTTGCACTTGGACAGGTTTCAGGTGCTTATAGGACCCCTAGTGGTGGGTCTTATAGTTCACAAGGCATCTGCACCCCTCAGAGCCATTGCACCAGCCTGTTGAAGCTTTCCCACATGCCAGGAAGCCACCTCAGCAACAACCGTGGCTCTGTGACCAACTCCAAGGGCCTGACTTCAGACCCAGACCTCCATATTTCTGCTGTATAACTGTCCTGATAGTCTCCAGCCCCTTGACTCCACAAAACCCCAGTTTCATGGAGTATTACACATGCTGCCTATGGGCTCCCCAGCCCAGATCACCAGTGGGAAGTGTCTCATTAGCTCCGAACAGTGAGGAAATCACAAGTGCCCTGAAGCTCGCAGCAGGGGGTGTGGAGATGACAGAGCAAGGAGAGGGCGCACTGCCTGGGACATAGGGCCACTCCCTGAGGTCCACCTGTGGAGCCACACTGCAGTGTGAACTCTGGTCACTGTCACTGCAGTGACTGAATGGCATGGTCAGAGGCCCGAGAAGGCAGGACAAGCTTGTGGCTGACACCTACCGCCCTTGAGGTCAGCAGAAGCGCCCACATACTGGAAGTTGTCCATGTTAATGACATCGATGATGGGTGACACAACCCGAGTCCTGTCCTGAGCACAGAGAGAGGAGAGTGATTACCTCAGTCCAGCAGAACGACAGCCTGCCATCCAAGGAGGCCTCCCTATAGGACATGCTACCACCTATTCACTCAGCTAAGAGCCCAGGCTGCACAGTGGCCCCAAGTCTACCCCAAAATTTCAAGCACAGGTTGTCCTGGCTCTCACTGAAGCCTCAGCTATGGACACGTGAGTTGCAGTGGACTTGGGAACAGACTCCCTGCACCACTAGGCAGGACTGTGTCTCTCCGGGTCACGGGGTGAGACCCCGCCAACAGGGGTTTCCAGATTCTAAGCTGGCTCTTCCTGTGATTCCACCAAACACTGCTTCCCCATCCTGAACTCCTGCTTCGTGCCACACTCTCATGCCCTGGTTAAAGTTGGGAACAGAAGGTTTTCACCTCCGATCTTTAAACTGTGCTCTGCCTCATACCAGTCAACAAAAGAGGGTGTTCCTCGAGCCACTTATAGAGGGCCCTTGCTAGCAGAAGACTCAGACCAGCAGAGCTGAGGCGCACACCAAGAAATGTTAGAAAGTTCCAGCAAAACCCACATGCGGATTCATGGGAAATAAGCTGTGTGCCCACAGACAGCAGAGAACTTCTTGCCTAGTCAGTCTGGCCCTCGGTGTGGGAGTCGCAACAACCTGCTTTGGCTCAACTCAGGAGGGGTATGGGGTGTCTGGGTGTGAGAGCCGGTGACTGACGCATCTCTAGCACAGTTGTGGGTTGCACTTGGCTCTGCTCTCCAGGGAGTCAGCCAGGGAGAGCGAGAAGCTGTGGTTTGGGACTCCAGGATGCGTTCATTGTCAGAGGCGTGTGCGTGGGGTGCAGTCAGGGGCTTAGTGGAACCTGCGTGGCAATCCTGCCACCTGTGTTAGAATCAACTAAAGTTAGGTCTTTTCTGTTAACGTATAACTATTACTGTGTAGATGCCAGCTAACCTCCCCAAATTGCTACCTACATGCTTTGTGAAACATTGCTTGACCCTGCAAGGTTCTTGCGGTCAAAGAGCTGTTTATTGCCAGATGTCCTAATCTCAAACTGCTTGCTTAAAAATAAATATTGCCCAAAAGAATTTTCTGTTCTCCTTGCTTCAAAGTCATTCTTACCCCGTGTGCCCCTTTTCTGAGTAACCAATTGTGAAGACCGTAAACCCAAACCTATCTATCAGGGTGAGGGGCAAAGAGATAAAAACTGAGCTGATTCCCCACTCAGTGTGTTCTGCCTATCAGACTATGGTCTGTGGCTATACCCTTCTGCAGAAGTAAAACTTTTCTTTGTTCCTTGCTGAGCGATTCCTGAGTGTTTCTTTAATCACTGTTTGGGAATAGGATTTCTAACACCTGTATGGATGTGGATACATTACTAAAGTTCCCAGAAGCCCAGTTTCCTCATCTGTCAGGTGGGGTAACACCTACATTAAAGGTAACATATAGGATCACTTGCCTTGCAGGCCTGAAGCCCTGAGTTCAAACTCTAGTCCCACCAAAACACAAAAAAAAAAAGGAAACATATAAAAAGTACATAGTGTATCACCTGAGCACAATAAAGGGCTGTAAAAATGACTTTCATAATCACGAGTAGCTTCTGGTCTTTTAGCGTTCCATGACTTGCTACCTATCAGCTCCCCTTGCTGTGCTGCAGGCAGAAAGCCTCATTCACTTTTTATTTCCTTTCATTAACTTTCTTTACTGCCCCCAAGGAAGCCCTTTCGTGGTGGCAAGGAAAGAGAGTCAATAAGACAAATGTTAGGCAAAGCTCACATCAATGGTGCTTCTAGAAGAGTGTCTATGGGTCACCACTGACGCCCCACCTGGGCACGGTGTGGTGTGGTGACCATCACCTGCTTCTCCCTGTGAGCCTGGAGCGGGCAGCCAGTGTGTACAGGCACACCGCTGGCCAGCCCCCACAGATACCACATTAGATGAGACTTCTAGAGCAGGGCACTCCACCAACTTCGTGCAGAACCAACAAGCTGCAGGTGAGGGTGAAAGGCACTCCTGAGTAAAGGGCTGACATTACCCAGCAGGTACCTCCAGCCCCTCAGAGCCTGTTTCCTGCCTGTCACAGAAGTGCTCATCACGCTGATGGGACACTCTGAAGCAACTTCCCAGGAAAACTCAGCCAGCACATGAGGAAGCATTACCACGCCACACTGCTGAGGCTCCACCCTGTCCCAGCCTCACCTCCGCAACCCGTTCCAGCAGTGGCTCCAGCCAGTGCTCATTACACTCGCAGTGACTGTCCAGGAAGGTCAGCACCTTGGCTTGTGCAGCATCAGCACCCCGGACCCGCGAACGCATCAGGCCTGTAGAGGTGAGTTGGAAGCATGTCAAAGGGATGCCTGGCACCGCAGCTCAAAGGGCAAAGCTTCCTGCAAACACGGGTAGGATCAGCACTGCCCTGCGGTTACCAGGGCAGATCCCTCTCCAGATTAACAGGACAGACAACTTTCGTAAGACTACTGCATTCAGAGAAAGGCCTCACACAACGGATGTCTCCTTCACCAAGCATGGTGGACTTCTAACACCACTTTCCCCTGCTGGGCTGGCTTTCTCATTTGCTGGGACAATGAAGGTATCGTCCACACCTTGAGTGCTAATGGTGCCCCTTTAATGGCCATGGTAACCGTGAGTATGTTGCAAACAGCTCTGTCTTCTAATATCACAAGCCAAGTCACAACGATGCAAATCTGGTTGTCTGGCTTTTACATATGGTCAGGGATGCTACTGGCCCAGTTTCACAATCCACATACTTGGGACCTATCAGCAATGCACATTTTCATTATGACCCAGTCTTATCACAAGCAGCATTTTATCCCTGGATGCTGTGGTCATAGATGGCTTTTACCAAACAGGTAGGCTTTATACTTTAAGGGGATGTGACCATTCACAACCAGTGAAGACAAGTGTTTTAAGTTCGTTTTTTTACAGTCAAAATGGATTTTCCATGATTCTTACGGAACTGATATTGGAGCAGGGAAAAAGACAAAGATGTCCAGTTTTTGTGTTAGAAAGTCCTGTCCTGATAACAATCACAAATGCTAAGCAACAAATAAAAAGCGAGTCTTTGAAAGGGTTAGAGAGAAGTCAGAGGCAGAAAGACGGGGGAGTCAAGGCTTGAAAGCACACAAGGTCAGGGAGTGAGGGCTGTGTACACACAAGCCCCCCAGGGTGCTCTCCAAACCACTGGGATACAGCCCATCAGCTGAGGTGTCAGAGGACAGAGTTTAGGACTTCAGAGAGGTTGGAAACAGGAGGCAATCCAAGAAAAGGGAAGGCCCCTCCATTCTTTGGCTGACTGCTGACCCATGCAGGCCCAGCCTCTAAGGAGTCCATGAAAAGCAGCCGTCAGGGGAACTGATGCTTCAGCTGCTACTCACTGTAGTGGAAACAAAAGTTTGGAGTCTGAGTCCTGCCACATTAGAAAAGTTTAGAAAATACTGGTTGTCTTCTACAGAAACCCTATGAGGATCACATTCACATTTAGAAACCTAACTGTTTTTGGAATGAAGAGTTCGCCTGAGATGTTTAGTCCTAGCAAAGTACAAAGACAAGCACATGTACCATATGCAAGTTCAAGTTTCCCAGCCAGCATTATGGTTTTGATACGTAGTACCCCTCTGCTAAAGGCTCATGTGCTAAAGGCTTGGTTCCCCAGTTGGTGGTGCTCCTGAGAGATGACTGGATCGTGAAGACTCCAATGTCATCAGTAGATTCATATTGAAAACTAGGAGGTGGGCCTGGCTGGAGGAAGCAAGTCACTGGGTTGTGCCCTGGAAGAGTGTATCTTGTCCCCACCCTCCCTCCCTCCCTCCCTCCCTCTCCTTTTAAGTTGCTTTTCCAGGTATTTTGTCACAATGATGAAAAACTGATACAGCCTGAAATTTAATTCTTCAGCATACAAAGATCAATACCCTTTAGAGAAAGGCAACATGATCCAGTGTATCTACAACATACCATTAACAAAGTGTGTTACACGGCGAAGAGTCGGGAGACATAAGAAATAGAATGTGGTCCACACCCAAGAGAAGTAAAATCAATCAAAAGTCACCCGAGGTGACTCAGATGTCAGAATCAGCAGGTGAAGAGTTTAAATGGCTATGAAAACTGTGTTTGAGAACTCAAAGGAAATGATTGCTTAATGAGTGAACAGGTGGAAAAATCTCAGCAGAGAAATGGAAACTATCAGAAAGAATGGGACAATGAAGTTGTCTGAAACGAAGAACTCACTGTAGCACTGACAGCAGATTAGAGCTGGTAGAGGATCAGTGAACTTGAAGGTGGGTCAGTACAAGCAGATCTATCTGGTGAAGAGAAAATTACCAAGGGGAAAATGCCTAGGGGGCCCATGGACACTGGACTCCAAGACTGAGGCAGACAATGTGCATGGGGACATAAGAGGTCAATGTGTCCCCAAGTCGGGGGGAACATTAGCAAAGTTGGAGCAGGATCAACAGGAAGAAAAGAAGTCTGGGCAGAGCACAGTTAGACTGCTGAGATGAAGACAGATGATGGCCAGTAGCTTCGGGAACAGCCTGCTGACGCACAAGGGAGCAGTCATCCAAATAACGACTATGCCACCCGACAGAGGACCAGGGCCAGGGACAGACTGGAGGACGTTTGAAAAAGTGCCGGAAGAGAAATTAATGGTTGGTTTAGAATTCTAGTGGGAAGAAATACAGTCTTCAGATAAACAAAAGCTGAGAGACTGTTGCTGACAGGGAACAAAGTCCTGAAGGAAGCTGGGCTAAAGGCGATGACCACCAGAAGGAACTCGAACGTATGGAGAGTGAAGCTGAAAATGGAAAAGAAGAGGTAAGTCTGCTTCTCTGCTCTCAATTTCTTTAAGACATTACTAACTATGTGAAGCACAATTGTAACACTGCGTTGTGAGTCTTAAGGCCTGTCTAGATCGAACAGGGGCAGCAACATCGAACAGACAGGATGTGACTGTGCTTCTGCAGGCTCTGAGCCTTTATGTAAACTGGTGACAATCACTTTAGGTGCACTGTCTCAAGTCGAAGCTGTGTGACACACAGCACTACCACCGTGCTGTACACAGCACATTCATCCTGTGTACAGCAGGACGCAGCACAGTGAGCACCTGGTGTGCTTAAAGTGTGGAATCTAAGCTATGTGTGCACATAGGACACTACACATGTGCGTGAGCTCATGCATTACCACGCAGCTGTTCCACACAGGCCGTCACAACCTGGCTTCCCATGCCTCCCAAACACAGTGCATCAACACGGGCTCTTACCCAAGTGAACACCCTGATGTAAGCCAGGGAAAGGTAAAATATTTAAACGTGCTTAGACCTGCTGCTCAAGCTCTACACAGGTTGCAGGCACCAACAGCTATACACCACCAACATTAAACAATGTCTTCAGTTCTTTTTTCCTCTTCTTCCCTCTCCCTCCTTTTTTAGCCTATTCCAGCCCTTTCCCCTTCAGTGGGAATCTGATATGCGAGTTTGAAGTTATCTGGTGGTTGTTTAGGGGTAGCACTAACGCAGATCGCAAGCTTGTGGTTTACTGTAGGCTTGAGGATGGCTGGAGTCCAGCAGCAGACCTGTTAAGAGCAAGGACATCCACACTGTGTGTCATGAATATCGGGGTTGGTGACCTTGGCTGGCACAGGGTGTGCCAAGGGTGGCATTGCTCTTGTAGATTCTGTGCTATGATCAGGCTCCTGTTAAGAACACTTTCCTTTATCTCCAGCCACCCACGTGATGCCCCACTAATGCATTTTGGGACATGCATTGATTTATGACTTCCTTTTGTTCTGTGACTCTGAAAGCTCATGTAACCTCTTCCACGGTGGAACATGTCACCTGGGGTAACCTGAATCCGGGTTTCTGGGCCATGGTCACTCCTATTTGGCTCAGAATGCTCTTCTCGTTCCCTTTGGAGGAAGAGCAGTGTTTTATATCAACACAGGGCTCCACCATCTTAAAAATGTTTTAAGAAAGGGGCATTTCTTACCTTCCCGCCGATCATTTCTGAGGACACGCACTTTCTCGATTTTCCCCAAGAGGGCCCCGTCCTCAGCTGGGAAAGGAAAAAACAGAGCATTGTGAACAAGAGGTTATACAGGGCTCCACGATGGGCGCAGCACTCCCTGCCACCTATGGTTGACTCCCCTTGGGGATTCAGAGCACCTCTGTCCTGGGCTGCCCACAGGAAGGCTGGTACAGAGCAAGGCTGATATGGTGGCATCTCAGTACTCACGGTCACTGCTGTAATCATCCACCAGGATGATTTCTCTTATGAGACGGGGCGGACTCCTCTTGAGTACACTGTAAAAAGACAGAAGGACAAAGGCTGTGGGCTCGGGAGGGTGATGCTGGGAGGGGAGTTCGGGAGGGTGGGGTTTAGAATGGGAACCACTTATCTTGGCCCCAGACTTGGGCAGAAGGAGCTATTGCTCTCCTCGGTGCTAGGCGGTCAGGTGCCCTCCTGCATGCTGGCCTGACCATGCTTGGGACACAGTTGGTGTCTGGCATTTCTAATTGGTGATGCCTCCCATGGTGCCTGGTGGCACTTGCTGGTCTCACCTGACCACTGTCCTCAGAAGGGCCGACCTGGCTTCGTTATGAAATGTGATCACTACACTGGTAGCTGGCAGGTCTACCCGCCACTGCTTCCGCTGACACCTGAGGGAAGAAAAAGGCTGATGTGTGAACAATGGATGCAGCTGGCTGTGGCTCATCCCCAAGCAACAAGCAAACCAGGCTGCCAGGATGAACAGGCTGCAACTAACCTGTTGGCTGTGGAGAGTACTGGCCTGCTCTGAGACAAAGCACAGAGGGGCATATGGCACCTGGAGTTGGCTTAAGAGATGAGAGATTCTGACATTTTTCTGAGATGTCAGTACAGTGCACAGTCCTGGAGTCCTAAGACTGAAGTCTCCAGGTGGACTCAGACACCAGCACAGTGTACTACTTGGAGTCCTGAGACCACAATCCCTAGAGAGAGCAGTGGGCTGGCAAGGACCACATGACATTGGCAGCTGTGGCTGAGTGCAACAAGTCACTAAACTGGTAATGCTACTGACACCAGTTAGGTAGGGAGACCAGGGGTGGTGGAAGCACTTGGTTTCAGGAAGCAGATTGGGAGTGGTCAAGCTGAACTCCACAGCTGTAAGGATGAGAAAGGTCACCTAGAGCCACTGGGGAACCTGTTGATGGGTCCTTGGTGGCACTCATCACCTGCCAATGCCCCTCCAACTGTAGTCAAGCACACAGTCCCGGAGCAGAAAGCTTTCCATAGGACCCATACTTAAGACTTGGTTTACTCTCTAGCTGACAAAGTGTTTCCCACAGCCTGACTCGTCGGCTCCCACAGTCAAAGACAGCATTTGTCTCAAATGGGAAATCAGTGGGAAAAGGAGATTTAAAAAAAAAAACAAAAACCAAAAAACCCACAAAAGACCTGGTGCTCAGCCGTGGCTAAAACATTGAAATAGCTGAGGAGTAAAGTGGACACTCAAGCAGCTGTGCACAATGACCAGTACTGCCACCCAAGGGAGTGGCTCCTGCAGGGGAAGAAAGGGCATGCCTTCACCCTCAGGACTAAGGGGTGGCCTCAGAGAAGGATGAGCAAGAAAAGCAATGCAATCATAACAGAATCAGGTTGGAGCCACAAAAGGGGCTCCTTTGGCTTATTTTAGCTATTGCAATAGCTGGTTGCAATTAATCATGAGAAAAAAGGCGTACAGTCACTACTGTTTGGGGAAAAAAATGCATCCTAGAATACATACCCAATCTTGTTATGGCCAACCCTTTACTGACAACTAGACTGATATGGTAGCTCTTCTTTTTCCAATTTTAAGAATTAGCAGACTGTTAGATCAAGAAAGTAAGAATCTGCAAGGTTTATAAACAAATTACAAGCAATATCACTCCCAAGAACCCAATCTGTAATGCTAATGAAATAAGGACCCCACTTTGGGATGCGCCACCATCCTCCTGATTCAATCAGGTCCTGTTTAACTCAGTAGAAAGAGCTGAGCAGCAGACCTGGACTGAGAACGTGGTTTACAAAGCCATAGAAGAATTCTAAAGAGACACAATGTGACATTTTTCACTCTCAAATCACAGTAAACTAGTCCCATCCAATCACACCCTGTTCTCTTCTTTTCTCTGCAGGAAGCCTGTCTTCCATTTGTCTGTCTGGAAGTCTCTGGGGGCTCTGGAGCTGGTTTCCAGAATTTGCAGAGCTGCTGCGTTCCCACCCTTTTGTTAAAATTCCTCTGCATATTCCTAGTAGAGTCTTGCTAGGACTTGGTAATCATGAGACTTCAGAGGTCCCATTTTAAAGCAGAGGAAAAACAAGGAAAAGCTGACTAAGTACCTCACCCACTATGGGTTGAGTATGGATGGACCTACTTACTAATCCACATGAGACTCACTCTGGACAAAGAAGGTGGGCTGGGAGAATTTCTTTTAAAAGAAAAGGAACAAAATTTGGCTTTAAAGAGCTTTATCGCTGACAGTCAGTTCTGGCTGAACCAGAGGCAGTGACCCCAGGACAGTAAGTAGCTCACACGTGGAGCTGACTGCCAGGCACTTCCTGCTCAGCTCTCTTTGGACTGAAAGGACATCATCTGAGGTCAGCAGCAGGGAGAGCCTGTCGTTCTCTTCTCACAGACAACACACCTGTCACAGCATGGTGCTGAGAAGAGACTGAGGGCCTAGCTCACTTGAGTTTCAAGGGTCTGGTGCTGACTTTCCAGTCTGGAAACTTTCTGCCCAGTAAAATAAAGACTTCAAAAGCCAAACAAAAAATGTTTTTAATCCCTATTTTAGTTCTAAATGGCTCTGAGATGTAGCTATCAGTATCTAACTTACAAACCTAATGGGACGAGCCCTGGGTAGTCAGGGTGGAGGCGACTTGTCTGAAGCAGATGTCAAAGTGGGGTCCATCTAGACTGGGGTGGGGGTGGGGCAATCAAATGCAAGCTCTTTGGACAGGGGAGTGGGGACTTCTGTTCAATAAAGGAGGACGGCCATGCTGAGGGGAGGAATCGAGGGTTATTTCCTAAGTGACCCCAGCACACTGCTCCTTATGCTCCCCAGCTGTAATAGGGTCTCCACAAAGGGATGCTGGTCCCCTTGGGTACTGACCATGTGCTCAGAGGTAACTGGCATTAATCCTAATCCACAAATGTGGCCCTGACAACGTTGCATGATTACTGGGGAAACACAGCACAGGGATCTGAAGGCTGGAAGTTCACTGGCAGGAGCACAGCCTATGATTCATACCAGTGGATCTGTGTGGGTAGAGGTGAAGCCACCAAGATAGGGCCCTGAGGCCCACCTCTAAGTCCACAGTAGGGGACCTGGAGTGGAGAAGGGCGGTCAGCCAATGGAGAAGACTCCATGGCCTGTAGGGACAACAAGGCAGAGGGAGAAATATCAAGAACCTGTGTGAGCCCAGGGTCAGTCACATTCACTGAGAGGGTTAGAATCACTGGAGAGGAAAATGGTTGGGAAAACAAGCTCCATTTCCCTGAAACGTCCGTCCAACCCGGATTTTGTAAGCAAAATACTGAGTAATGTAATGTTGAATGTCTTAGTGCGTTTCTGCTGCTGTAACAGAATTTCATACAGTAAGCTGGGTAACTTAACAAGGCTCATGACTCTGGAGGCTGGGAAATCCAAGAGCACGGTGCCTGTATGTGGTGAGGGCTTTGTGCTGCATCCTAATATGGTGCAAGGTGGCTGAGCAGAGAGACAGAGAGGCAGGCAGGGCTTGTGGATAGCCAGCCCACCCCAGAGCTGAAAACATTAACCCAGAGCCCTGGCTGATCTCCTACAGACGTCACCTCCCAGTCCTGTTGTCATGTCAATTCAATTTCACAGGAGAGTTTGAGGGAGTGTTTCATCCACAGCCATTGCAATAAAGCATCAGCTTGTGCTCACACACAGACAGGTCCCTACTCTAGAAAACACACTTTATCATTCTTTTTTTTTTTTTTTCAGCATTACTGGGGGTTGACCTAAGGGCCTACAAGCTTGCTAGGCAGGTGCTCTACCACTTGAGCCAAGCCTCCAGTACTTTTTGTGCTAGTTATTTTGAGGCAAGGTCTCTGTGCCCCGGATGGCCTGGACTATGATCCTCCTATTCGTGATTTCTCAAAGATGCCATACCAGGTGTAAGCCACCATCTCCAGCCATTGGTTGAGATGGGGTCTTACAAACTTTTTTTTTGCCCAGGCTGGCCTAGAACGGGGATCCTTCCTATCTCACCTCCTGAGTTAAGCCACAGCACTGCGCGGGAAGCATGCTTTAAAAGATAAAAGTGAAGTTAAAAATGATGGCAAGCCTGCAAAGCGGGCCCCAGGTCACTGCTCCATCTCCTGACACTGCAGGGGCTTCGGTGAGTCCTCAGAAGCACATGCTTTGCTTGGGGTTTGGGGCCCCAGGTAGGGGCAGAGCTGCTGGCAGCAAGGCCACAGGGCATCAGTCTCCATAGCACTGCTTCTTACTGCATGTCCACAGCAGGTCCTCGGTACCATTCAGCTTCCCTGTGTGATATCTCATGGCAGACAATGCCAGAACCAGGCCAGGCCATAGTAGTTCAAGGTTCTGGTCTTTGTAACATGTACTTCCTTTTACAAATTATCAAGTTGGCATTTGGGTTCATTCAATCTGTGAATTAAGTTTGAGTCTAACCCCAAAAGATACCTCTGGCTTTGATTTGCTGACAGAAAAAGCAAAGAAGGGGGAAAAAAATCCCTGGGTTACAGAAGGTGAGAGTTGAATCTTGAACCACAATAAAGTCCCTGAGGGGCCCATGGCTTCTCATGTACACATGAAATATTTCAAACATGGCACGCAGAGATGTTACAGAAGCACAGTTGTGTTCTCCACTCTGCTTCATCAACTCTTCACATTTGCAATGTTGGCATCTGGTTCAGAGTTTTCTAATTAAATGACCAACAACACACAGTAGTAACTGCAGTCCCTCCAGATCCCTTCCTGGCTCCACCCCACCTTCAGCAGAGGTAACCACTACCCTGCATGTTTTTAATAAACCACACAGGTGCACATTCACGGATAAGCTCAGCGTGTCCTGCGTGTATTCAGTCATGTGTATTCGATGAACTAAGCTTCACTGCTCTGTTTTCTGGAGGTGGCCCTGCTGCGTTCAAGATCACACTGCAGTTTTTCACCAGAGTCCCCTTCTGTTGACTCACACTTTCCCTCCATCAGGAACAATGCAGCAGTCAGTGGACATTCTTTGTACATGCCCAAGTTGGTTTCTCTACATCACTTAGCTGTGAACCTGTCCTCAGCTTTACCTGACAGTCAAACTGCTCCCCAATGCACTGTAACTGGCTCGTTCCATTATGTAAGTTCTCTGAGATCACATCTTACTATCCTTAACACCAGATGGCATGATATTACCTGTTATTCAATTTCATTCCATAATTACAGAGGGGCCACCATATTTCCTGTTTATGAGCTGGCTGGGGCTTCCTCTGTAACTTCCCACTCATGTCTTGGCCCCTTTCTGACTAGGTTTTTGCCTATTTGACTATGGGGACTTAATATTCTGGGTATTATCCTTTGGCAGCTACATGTACAGCACACTCTCCAAGCCAGTGGCAGATCTTTTGCTTAAATTTTTTATTATTCAGTCTCTGGAC